ATCTCTCACGGTAAGCGCGCCGCCATAATCCTGCCTCGCCCCGCATTCGGGTCAACCGAGAGTACTAGAAATTACGTAACACGTGTGCGCCGGGGCGGTTCCCACCGAGTCGTTCTACCGGAAGTCGGGACCACGTCTTGTCGTAAGGACGTGTACGGTCAGCACTCGTCGCGCATGGGAAATCCTCCTTCGTAATAGGAAAAATCTCTCAAGGATGATTCAGCCGGCGAGGAAAAAGTATTACAAGGAAACTCGGCCTCGTATCGGTGGACGACATGGAAATTAGAATGCGAGAAAACGTGACGGCACGAGATAGTCCTTTTTCTCCCTCCCCTGAAGCAGTTATGAATTTGTTCTTGTTCACTTTGTACCGCTGCGACTTTCTGTTTCGTCACCGCTCCAAAATTCTATCGAACGAACGCGTTTGCTTCGTGTCGTAGAAATCGTTCGGCGGAATGCTTCAAGGCTTCGACATTATTGGGACGATTACGGTTCTTCTTATTCCGAATAAGTTTCACTTTGTGGGGTTATGAATGCGAGATTGTGTGCACTCGTGCAATTAATGTTCCTTCGTGCAACGATACGAACGCGTGTTTTTGTTTCTGCTTTCTTTGCCGGGAAAGGTTACTTCTCGTTTAAAAAATTGAAAATTGTCGTAACAATGGCACAGAAATTTTGAAGATTTCGAGTATCGGTACTTTTGTTCTTGTTTCTAAAAAGGTATTGAAAAGTTTTCCAAGCCTTTAATTATTTCGTATCGAAATAACTATGGACGTGTATTTTCACATTATAAATTTTCATTAGTAGAAACGTTATAGTTAGTTATATTACATAATTATTGTTACACAATTAATGGTTTTTTATTTATCGAGAAAAGTGCCTTTTTTTGTTAAATTTGCTTCTTTTTTTCAAGAAGAAAGTTACTTCTTATTTAAAAAAATATTAAAACCTTTGAGTATCCATAATTTTGTTATTATTTTTAAAAGAGCATCGTAGAATTTTCCGAGTTTTTAATTATGGACATCTATTTTCATAGTAGCTAGTCATTTTTATAAGTAGAAATGTCATAGCTAGCTACATTACATAATTACCGTTCTACAGCAGAAAATCTGAGGAAAAGTTCGGCTGAACGACAGAACGTACAACTTTCGATTTACACCCTGTACATTCGTCGTATCCACGGATATCTTTATCACATTTATATCTTTCCACCCATCTTGAACAATATGCTTCACAAATCACAATCTATTTCCTTGACTTTCTGTATCGCGATTACAGAACAACGTTCCACGATAAATCAAAACTTTCCACATTTTATAAGAAAGCGATTTCTCACGATTAGGAACGCTTGAAATTCTTTCAAACCTGACGTTTCCTACCGATCAGCACAAATCTACCATTGCGGTTTCTAATATCACTAGAACCGTGCTGTATCCACGCAACTGACCTTAATGTATGTAACACAGTTCCAGGAAAGACATAAAGAAATTTATTATATTTCATAAGCATATAAATCACGCAAAAATCACGCGTGATTATATATCAACATCAATACTCAAGTGCTGGAAAATTATATAAAATATCGACGCTTAAGTGAGTAAACCGAACGGTAAAAATGATTTCCCTTTTAAATATCCAGGAACAAATAAAAGCGAAAAACACCCAAGTATTAGACGAGTGCCAAAAATTCTGTCAATTTTTGTATTAACAACAGCTTTATTTTTGCAAATGAATTACGATGAGAAGAAAGTTAAATTAGCTCTATTTCAGAAGACCTACTTTAACAACGAGTCGAAAAATGGCGATTTCCTATTTCATTTGTGACAAAAATCCTAACAAAAAAATGTCAATCTATAAAATTCACGTACAGTTTTGTATGTTACACGAATTAAAAAAAAAAATTGAATGAAACAACTTGTCAACGATTTCTTATTCGTCTTCATTCTAACAGAGTATCGCTAAAAAATCAATCGCGATTCAGACAGCCTTCAAATTTTAACAAAAGCAAAACAAAATTACACAAAATATAGACGTCCATCGTACAAACAGCCTGAGAAAACCTCATTCACTTGGAATAACAAATAAATTCGTGAATTCGTCACGAGTTATTCCAGACCATTTTTATTACTTAAAACCACCAGAACTTCGACCACTTACCCAATAAATTTAACATTGACACTGTTCGTCGATCGCATGAAATTCCAGGTATCCTTCCCGCAAACGTTTCCACTGTTTTACATAATAATGCAATATCTCCTGGCGTCCTTTCTCGTAACAAAGGGGATCGCATGGAGGAACGGTAATTCCGTGTATCATAACACAGCACCGAACCCGCCATAACACTTTCCTTCCTTGCTCCGGCCAGCTCATGGCGTACGCTTTAGCAACGTTCGAGAGCTTGGTTCTAGCAAGCGATAAGGAATTTTGCCGCACATACCATTCGCGCATACTCGAGTTCACCGATCCGCGAAACTCGCTCTCTCCTCGCCATCTTCTGCTTCCTATTGACTATAAACCGTAGCTCGATGCAGATCCGGTTTCGTGCCTGGAAACTAGAATAACGGCTTGGTCTGCCGACATTCTAATCCAACAATTTCGATTACGACTCGCGTGACGTGATAAAACCGTTTCCTTCTTCGACCGCGACTAAATCCTCCAAGCTCTTGCTGCTCCGTCTGACGTGTAACGGACGTCTCTACTTGTCGACTTGCACTACTTGAGGCCTCTATGGGGCTAGACTACTTTGGCCTAACCGAAAAGTACCGTTTCTTCAGAATTTATTTTGAAGTAATGGAAATTCTTTTTTGAAGAAACAATTTGGATAATTATAGAGTCGTGCGTAAGCAATATACAGGAATTCTTTTCAATTTTTTAGTTTTTAAATATTGAAATCGAGAGTATCGTTGCATTGTGTGTTATTTATAAGGAAGAGGTTCCTGAAATCAAATTTGCCTGAGGGAATATTAAATATAGGTAAATTTTCTATAGGCTTTAATTGAGAAATAACAAAATGGCAGCAATTCAAAGGAAAATTTCACTTTTTACGCGAAAATGTAGTCATTTCCTTATTTATAACTCGAGTAAAAATTAAAATATGGAAAAGATCTTAAGTTGGAGGACATAGAATGTGTTTAAGAATGCATGTGCAAAATTTCGTAAAAATCTGTCGAGTTTTACTCGAGTTACATCGTACACCGTTTGGGAAAACGTGGTTTCGATTTATGAAAACAAAGAAAAATCGATTTTTTGATCCCGTCAAGGTAGCCTAACTCCTTGAAGCACTGTATTGTCAGTACCTCGCGTTTGTTCGAGTAATTACCGGCTGAAATATAGTCGATGTTTATACCGATAGATTGATGGCGTGTTGTTTGTAATAAGAGAAAGGTGTAGTATTATGCAATGTTGTTCTACTAGTGATTATGAAAATAACCACAACGCAAACCATTGAATGCGAAAACTCTTGCGGGAACAAAGTAGCTAAATCAGATATGTAGTAGATAAAATGTTTGTCAATGATATTTTAACCTTTAAGTCCATGGGAAAATTTATTTTTACACCAACAATATAAAACCAAGGTAATCTCATATTAGACCGAGATAGAAAGAAAAATTTGATAGTAAAATACTATCGGTGTTGCAAAGAAATATTTTGCAGAATTTTGAATATCTACTATAATTATTGCAAATGGAAAACACACGTATTAATCATTTTACAGTGTAATTAGTAACACGTTAAGTGCCAGGCAAATTTTATGACTTGCCAATGACGTCCCTGATCACTGATGACACTCACCTATGTGTTAATAATAATCACAACTATTTTATTGATCTGCTAACTCAGCATATTCTAATTAACAACCAACTCTCTTTTCCAGGTAATCCCATTATGCCTTCTGCTGCTGACAGAAGCAAAACGAGTGGAGATCCGGCCTCGTATAGCCGAACCGCAAGTTTACTACGAAGAAGACAGCCAAGCAGCTGAGGACGATTACAGCCCAGCAATCTACCAGCCACGTACACGTGCACTTCCTTCGCCACGTTCGAAGGAGGCTCTGCACTCATCCAAGCCACCACCAGTCCAGACTATTCGCAATTACAACAAGGTCAACGACGACGGATCTTTCACTTTCGGCTACGAGGCAGCGGACGGCTCGTTCAAGGAGGAAACTCGTGGAACCGATTGCGTAGTACGCGGTAAATACGGCTACATCGATCCCGATGGAAACAAAAGAGAGTTCACCTACGTATCCGGCAATCCTTGCGACCCGAATGCGCCAAAGGAAGACGAGGACGATCTAGCGGACAAACAAGAAGACGACGATCTCTCCGGACCAGCAAACTATCCTTCGGTAAGGCCAGTACCGAGACCAGTCCAATCCAGGCCAGTTTATCAACAACCGACTACAAGAGCACCCACGACGATCTTCCAAACGCAGTATCAACTGGACGACGACGCGAGTCAAGAACTAGGCGAAGAGGACCTCGTGAAACCGTCGCAATTGAGACCAAATGTCTACAGAACGGCTCAACAACCGAACTACGTTCAAGTAACACCATCGTCGGCTCTCTACGAGCCATCGCCCACTGCCAGCCCTGGTCTCTACAGATTAGCCTCCTCTACGACGCAGTATCAAACAACATCATCACCTGTTCCTCGTAGCCAACCTACGGTCTCTGCGTCAGCCTATCAGGCCCTCGAAACGACGACCCGTCGCCCTGTCACGCGTCACCCGAAGCCTCAATCGGTCGCAATCACTCCCAGACCCCACGTTGCACAAGTAGCTGCCCAGTACGTGTCCCCAAGTAGCACCGAGCAATCACCGTTAGCGTACACCCGTCCCTCGGCAGTCACTGCACCACCCAATCTACGGAGCACTACGGTATCTAGCGCATCTCACCTTGACTTTGCCGCCGAGCTCGAGCGTTACGTGAACACAGTCGGCGTGGCAAGTCCCAAGCCCGTCCAATCGTCGCCCCAATCATCGAAACTAAAATTGGCAAGTCAACTGCCTATCGCCGCCTCCGCCGCAGATCCCATCTACCAGTCGGAGCTCGTTTACGATCCCTCTACCGGTCAGTACAATACCCAACTATATCAAACACTACCCCAAACCGTGGGTGACTTCACCCTAAGTCACAAACTCCAACCGTTCGTAGCCCAGCCCCAGTCCTATCTTGGACTGCAGCAGCTTCAGCAGCTTCAGCCCCAGCAGCCCCAGCGTCAGTCCCCGCTTTATAAGCAACCTGCGACCCAGTCGGCCCAATCCGCCCCTGCAGTCGGTCAGCAACCCCAGGAAGTTCTGTACAGGAAGCAGCAAGCACAATTGTTGCAGCAGTCTCAACAGCTGTACGCTCAGCAGCAAAGACGTCAACAACAGCAGCAGCAACAGCCGCAGCAACAACCACCGCAGGGACATAGGCTTCAACTGCTCGAGTCACAGACGCAACCACAGTCTTTCTACTACGTGGCACCTTCAAGGTCCTCGAACGCCGCCAGTCCACCACTTTCCGTAGGTCAGATCGATCACTATCTTCGAGCCAGCGGAGCTCGTTACTGATCCCATCTAGCCCGCGAGTCTTTTCTCGATGTACGAAATTTATATTAGAGAACTCCTTTCGATATCTTTTCCTACCACCCGATCGTTGTGTTTTCGAACCACCCGCGGCACTCTATTGACGTGACGGTGCTGTCTGTGGGCTTGCTTGGCGCGCGTATTCGGGGTTCGATCGAACGTGCACCGTGCCAAATCGTTTGGTTGCGTGAAGGTTACCAAGGAGCAATCGGAATTGATTAAGACGTGTCTGTTGATTTGACGATTTGCTTTCGTTGTTTCGTGCGGAGTCCAATTGTTACTCGTTCGTGTATCAATTTTTTTGTCGTGATTTTAGTGATTTGTCAAATTTCGTAGAATGCTCTTTTAGTGCGTACATTATGGATTTATGGGATTTTTTGGATCTATAGGAACGATTGAAGGTGTCGAACAAATTCCAGACTAAAATGGAAGTGCATTGTTTCTCTTGTGAGATGATTCGAGTTACCGCTATTGAAATTAGATATTATTTATCTATTCTTAAAGTAAACAATGTAATTGCATAACGTACGCGCGTTAAAGCTCGCTAAATAGAGTACGCTCCTTGGTGAAAGCAATGCATTCAAGCCGTAAAATATGGTAGCACGTGCACGAATGATTTGCGTCAAAAAATTTCTCTCACGCTAGCAGATATTAACGATAAAGTTGCGTAAACTTTACATAAACATACCAGGATTGGCAATATCGACGAAAACACGAACTTCTACATCGACACTAATACTGTGATAGTACCAACTTCCAAAAGTCGTGATTTTCACGTTGACAAATTTCATGGAAAACATCGAAGTTTCACGCTAACAGACGAACTAATTTCTTTTCGTAAAAGAAAATTACCCCTCTCGCGTTTAATCGTCAGAGGGCTTATTTATTTAATAACGATATCAATTCTAAAAGGAAACGACAGGTATCAATAATAACATCAACGCTAACAACCAGTTCAATCGACAATTTGTCAACTCTAATAACGAAATTTCGTAACAATTACCCAACCAATTTCGAGAGATCAGCTTCGAACGTGTGTGTACTTTTTCCTTTTTTCAACGATCTCGTTCGAATCGAGAACGACTGTCGTTAGAGAGTGAAAGTCAATGACCTGACGCAACACACTCACGCACACGAGGACACATTACCATAGCAATTTCTCGTAGTATCGTCGATCCTTAAAGTAACATGCTATACCGCCACAGATTCCATGCCATGACCAGAATATTCATCGTGCGCGCACGATCATTTCGAACACGATCCCGACCTACGTGCGCGCTGATTTGATTACAAAACGCCAATCCGTAGGATAAACATTTGCTGTCGTAACAACGGCGCTACGTTTAATCACATCGGGACAGTCTTTCCCAGAGAAATGATTCATAGGAAACACGTAACAGGTCGACGAGAAATTAATTACAAGATCAAATTGATCCTTGAATCGTACGTCCGCTTATCATTCTTTGCGAGCATGATAGACCTAGTTTTTCTTTTTCTCTTTATCAATCATCTGGAATGTCTTTCTCGATCGGCAAAAATTCATTATTTCACGACTGTTACGTTGCGGAACAGTCTACTTGTTTTTTGCCTCATCTTGGGACACTTTTAACGGCTTATTTATTTAATAAGGGAATCTATTTTGAAAGCTGAACGAAGTGAAATGACTGGAATCGAGGCTAAGTTTAACGACAATTTGTCACTTTAATAAGGGAATTTCGTAACAAGTGAAGGAAATGATATGGTAAAAATTAAGGAGATTGAGATGAACGTTGACAATCGGTACAATAACAATTTGTCACTCTGTTTCGAGTAACATGAAAGAAAGTGAAACAAAAATGATCTCGAATCTATTCGATATCAATTCTGAAATCAATCCTAAAACAAAATATTATCAATGCTAACGAACCAGTTTAAAATGACAATTTGTCGCTCTAATATCGAAATTTCGTAACGGAGCTTATTTCGAGTAACTTTGAAAATAACTGAAACAAGAATCAAATTGCTAATAACCCGCGTTTCTATCGAATCTATCCGATATCAATCCTAAAAAAAAATAACATCAACGCTATCAGTTCAATGACAATTTGTCACTCCAACAACGAAATTTCAAAACGAAACAGATACGAAATTCCTTCTAACCCACGTTTCGATCAGATTCCCAGTCGACTTTCGTCTTCTGTTTGTCACTCTCTATTCGTCACCTGCAGTTAGCGTCATTCTTATATCACCCCGCAGTCCCGACGTTTACAAGTGAGACCAGTTATATCAGGAGTAACCCACGTTTCGATCAGATTCCCAGTCGACTTTCGTCTTCTGTTTGTCACTCTCTATTCGTCAGCACCTGCAGTTAGCGTCATTCTTATATCACCCCGCAGTCCCGACGTTTACAAGTGAGACCAGTTATATCAGGAGCAAAATCGGTATCGTTTTGCAACAGTTACGGCAAATTTTGCAAGCGTGCCTTCGAATGAGAGATTAGTCCGGAGCCATCTAAGGAGAACTGTAGCATACTTTCATTGGCGTGGTCCGCCGCGCAGGGACATTCTACCTGGGCCGAACGAACTTTCTATTTGCATTCCCTGTCGTAAGTGTGAGAATCGATTCGAATCTAACGCGTCCTACGACTCGATTCTGTGGAAAGCTATGTGCGCACATATGCACGCCCGTGGAAATATTACGGGGCGATCGTAAATCGAGAGGCGTGGACCCCTGTGATCATGTGAAAAGATTTCACACGCATCGAAAGGTTCCCCCCAGTTCGTGTGTCTGTGTAAATGTAACGTGTTGGTAATACGGCACTTTTACGAATGCTTTCTCCCATACGCGACGCCAGGTCGGTAATTGTCAAGTTCGTTGTATTTATCGATATCTATTTATTAGCGGTAAGATTGAACGAGTAAAATGTGAAGGAAGAAAGAAGAGAATACAGTAGACTCTCGTGTAACACGGTTAACACGTTACGCGTTGTATAGGAAATCGTGCAGTACGAGAATTTTTCTCGTATAACGCGAATAATCTAAAGCAGAGGTCGGTAACCTTTTGATCAAAAAGGGCACTCCGAGTGGCTGGCAGGTGATAAAGGGCACTTTGCCTTAATTTTGCTGGAGGGGAAGTTGTAAGCTTAAAGTACATTCAATACATACTTATTTTAAACGAATTTATTAATTTATCTTTTAAAAACATTTTGTAAAAATATCTGGCACAGTGGCGGGAATTTTAAAAATGCTTGGCGGGCAATTTGGTACCCGCGAGCCCTGTATTGCCGACCCCTGATCTAAAGTATCACGTTATTGCCATGCCAACTTTTATTGTCTGTTTTATCAGATGGAACAGTTTTTGAAAAAAGTGACGCATATACGCTGTTGGTTAAAAAAAAAAAACATATTAGTCTATGTAATAAAGAAACAATCAACAAAAAAGAGAAGAGGTCGGTAACGATGAAGAAAAGAACGCAATGCCCAACTTTTAAATGCGGGAATTTCTGTGTTTTATTATTTGGCGCGTTGTACGAGGAATCGCGTTATACGAAAACAGTAGTCGCAAAATCTCTTGCGCGTTATAGAAATTCGCGTTGTACAAGAGTCTACTGTATTCTTTTTTTTTTTATTTTTTTTATAGTGAAGAGGATGTATACGAAGGCGTTTCAGCAACAACAACAAAAAAAGGAAAAATGAGTGCAGATTTAGCGCGATTAAGTAACGGTGTACTTGTAGCTTTTTTTTTTCTCTCTCGTTTGGTATTACACCGTGCAAAACTGTCGATATACACTTGTCTACACACCATTGTAAATACTTTCTCTCGTTAGCATTTAATATATTTAGCGGCTATCCTAGCGATTTATACGTTTCAGGACATACTACGTCGGTAAGGAAGACACTTGTGTCTCTTGCGTTTATAATTGTTTTTATATTATTTGTAAACGTGATCGAAGAAAATGTATTGTAACGAAAAAAAAAAAAAAAAGAAGAAAAGAAAGACAGTTGTTACCCGTTTATTCTCACTGTGGACGCCTACTGTAACGAGGTGATAATTAAGTTTCACGATACGAAAAGCGAAGAAAGTAAAAGTGGCCAGAAGGAATCGTAAGTATGACGAACATTTGATACGCAGTTTCTTCCGCGAGTTTTTTCGTATTTTTTTTTCCTTCTTTTTTTTTTGCAAATATACACGCGGTTACGTGGTACTTTCGCCGCGTTTTGTAGCTTTCGTAAGAATTAATCGACGACTGAAATTTTTAACACTCGTTATGTATTTATTTCCTTCGCGTTCGAGCAATTTTCTACTTGTAGAATTTTTTTGTGTTATATCTTCTATATTGCGTAATATTTTCTATATGTTTTCGCGTTTTTTGTTTATCTACCATCGATGTTCCATTCGCTTAATTTGTCCAGAAAAGAGGTAAAGCGTTTCGCAAGTAAAACGAAAGCGATGTCTTCGTTTCAAAATTAAAGCGTTTCGCGAATAAAACGCAAGAGATATCTTCGTTTCGATATTAAAGTATTTCGCGAATAAACTGAGAGAGATGTCTTCGTTTCGAAATTAAAGTGCTTCGCGAATAAACTGAGAGAGATGTCTTCGTTTCGAAATTAAAGTATTTCGCGAATAAACTGAGAGAGATGTCTTCGTTTCGAAATTAAAGTATTTCGCGAATAAAACGCAAGAGATATCTTCGTTTCGAAATTAAAGTGTTTCGCGAATAAACTGAGAGAGATGTCTTCGTTTCGAAATTAAAGTGTTTCGCGAATAAACTGAGAGAGATGTCTTCGTTTCGAAATTACACTGTCGAATTGAAAATCTCACGGTTAATCTAACGAATGTACCAATTAATTCCTGACAATATTCTTAATACGACACTTGTATACTTCAATTCTTTTCATCCACCTTCGATGTTTCGTTCGCATAATTCGCCCAGCAAAGAGATAAAGCGTTTCTCGACTAAAACGAAAGAGACGTCTTCGTTTGAAAATTACAGCGTTGAGAGTTGGCCAGGAAACAAGGAATGAAATTACTCGCGCGCATTTAACATTTGTATTCGTAAACGTGTAATTGCTTGGAGCGAACGTTAACGAGTCCGCTACTGACAGCA